AATCCAATCTCTTCTTCTCTTCTTTACAGAGCATCTATAGCTGCATTCAGACATCATGTTAAGCCAACATTGTGCCTGTCTTTCTCTCAATGAAGAGCACAATGAAGGAATCCTGGTTTAAAACAGCTTCTGGAATAGGCATGTTCCTGGTTTAACTAGGTTTAACAGTACAATCTGAAACAGACTTCCACGTCCCTTGAAGCTGATGTGCTTAAAAGGATGCACCTCTGTTTAGGACGGCACTGTGTAACAAACACACACCTCCAAGATGGAAGACAAAACCATCCGATATCTGCACAAGAAGGAAGGGGACAGAGGCAGGCCTGCACATGAACCTAACAACAAGCTGGGACTGGGCACAAGGTTGGCTTCCCCTGTTGACGGAATGCAGCCTCTGCATTGGATCCCCACAGATCCATTCCCGCCGCAGAAGCATTTGCTTCTGGCCGACGAAGCCTTCCTCTGAGGCGAAGATGGCCATGGCATCAGGCGAACGGCTCCTTCAGCCTCTGTAAGGCAACTTCCATCAGCAGAACCAACCTGACCCCATCTTTTGGGAACTTCCCCTTTTCTCTCTCCACAAGACTAACAGCGACGAGAACGCGACTACTGACAGGCGCCAATCACGCAATAAGCCAGCTCAATTTGGCCTTGACCAAAGTGTACGTTCCATAAAATAAGTGAATGTTTGTGGGGTTGGGAAAATGAGAGAATAATCCTTCTAGGAAGAGAAATTTGTTCACTTATAAAGAGGAGGAGATTGAATTTATATCCCACCCTTCACTCGGAGTCTCAGAGCGGCTTACAAACTCCTTTCCCTTCCCCTCCCCACAACAGACACCCTGTGAGGTAGGCGGGGCTGAGAGAGCTCTTTGGAGAAGTGCTCTTTCCAGAACAGCTCTGAGAGGACTTGTGACTGACCCAAGGTCACACCAGCAGCTGCATGTGGAGGAGCGGGGAATCAAACCCGGTTCTCCCGGATTAGAGTCCACACTCCTAACCACTACGCCAAACTGGCTCTCATTAAAATCATTAAAAGATTATCAGTTCTCCAGAAAGCGAAGATCCCCTAAGGGCAAAGTAGAAAGAAGTGCAGGTCAAAGTTCTGAGAGATCTTTTCCAGATATGGCACTCTGGAGTAAAAACTGGTTAATGAATGACACGCTTGCAGTCTGAATTTTGAAAGATGAGGAGCCAGCAGCAGGGAGGAAAAGAGAGGGACAGGGAAGCCAACAAGGACGAGAGACAGGTGTGACCAACATGTGGTTAATGTTGGCTCTATAGGTGTATGTACGTGCCCTCAAGTTGCAACTGACTAATGGCGACCCCAGCAAGGGGGTTTCAAGCAATGCTCCCTCTAAGCTGTGGACTCCTTTGAGCAAAAATTCTACTTCGTGAGTTACCAGCATTAAAGTTGTGAGCAGGCAGGTGATTTAGCTACTGAATAAATTAGTTTGCTCTAGACTGGAACCATCCTTCCTGAGCTAAGACAAAAATGTGTGAGCCAGAGGCTAAAAAACTGTGAGCTAGCTCACA